AATACCAAATTATTTTGTTCTGCCGTAAACTCTGCGAGAGCAAGGATGACATGCCTTCCCTGGAAGATAATGGGCAGTTTCACAAAATTTTGCTTAATGAATAACGATGGAAAAGATGACTAATCTTTAATGTCACTTCATACTACTGAAGTTGACAACAGACATCTATAAAAGACAAGCTCTGACATTCTTCTTGCTGCATAACACCACTTCTCTAAAATTACTATTAAGAAATGCTAAGTCTGAAGAGCCTTTTATACTACCCCGAGAACTGAGAGGTTTTTAAATTTTATTTTATTTATTTATTTGAGAGAGAGAGTTCGTGCGGTGGGGGGGGGGTTGGGAGGGGCAGAGGGAGAAGGGCGGGGCTCGATCCCAGGACCCTGAGATCACGACCTGAGCCAAAGGCAGACACTTAACCCACTGAGCCACCCAGGCAGCCACCCGAGAACTGAGAGTTTTGTCAGGACTCCAACAACACGTCTGCCATCCATGTGGCCATGCTAACAAATCCTGCTCAGGTTCGACAGATGTGACAGCGAGTTTCTCCCCTTCTCCTGCGAAATAGGTGGGAGAGTATAGCAGGTCCTCTCAAAGGCAGCTGAAGAAATGCACGCTGGACGATGAAGCTGCCCCCCGTGAGATCCTGGTGGGCCACAGCCCGAAGGGCCACAGGGTGGCATCGCTGCAAGCCGGGCCTATTAGCCCGCCTCACTGCCAAATCCCAAACGGGAAGGAGTGTGAGCGTGGGCACGGGAGGTGTGGTGGGCACAGGCACCATGGGGTTCCTGCGAAGATGGAGCTCGTTCAAAATAGAGACACCTTTTTATTTTTTATTTTTTTTTAAATTTTATTTATTTATTTGAGAGAGAGGGAATGAGAGACAGAGAGCACGAGAGGGAAGAGGGTCAGAGGGAGAAGCAGACTCCCTGCTGAGCGGGGAGCCCGATGTGGGACTCGATCCTGGGACTCCAGGATCATGACCGGAGCCGAAGGCAGACGCTTAACGACTGAGCCACCCAGGCGCCCTAGAGACACCTCTTTAGAAGAAAGGGAAAGAAAAAGAGAGCTTTTCTCCCTATAAATGCCTTTTAGTCCTTTCCCGTCAGGGATAGCCTACTGGATTTTAGATGACAATTAATTACTCTTCCATATGGCTGCTGGAAAATTCAGAGACACTAAAAGTCTAGGATGCAACAGGAATATCACGCTCAGAGCCTTCGACCTGTAGAGCCACAGACCCTGGCTCATGCCCCCTGTGTGTGCCAGCCAGCACAGTACCTGGCCGAGAAGAATGAGGCCAGCGCACGTTCTCTGTGCCCAATTCGGAATTTCTCCCACAGACAGAGTGGTGCTCTGGAGTTGGCTACAAACAGAGGGAATTTGGCCTGAGAAAAGCCTGCAGAATTTGGGAGTTTTAACAGCTGGTAAGCAAGAATGTTTTGATACATTTTCAAAAAATGGTCTTAGAAATTCTAGAATGAGCAGGACCCTTCTCTGACCCCAAACAACATATTGGCGGACAGATGCATGAAATGCAATTTCTAGTGTGTCTTCTTTTTTTTTTTAAGAAATATTATTCTCAAAAATAAACAACTTGAACCTTTTGCCAGCCCAGCATTCTCTGTCTTTGTCCTCACCAGGCAACGTGCTCACAGTCATTTCTATTCAGCAGTTATATATCACCCGAGCCCGCTGCCATCCCCGGAGGCAGGGAAGCATGGCCAAAGTAGCACTGGGAGCAGGATTCAGGGTCTTGGCTCGCAGCCACGATGGCCTCTCACACCCCCTGTCATGTGGATAGATGGCTGCGAGTCAGAAGGTGGCCCTTGTTGCTGCTGGTGCTTATCCACCAGGCCCCCAAGCGGGCTCCCATCCTGCACAGCTTTGTGGTGATTTCCAACATGGCAGCCACCCAGCCACGAGACCCCACTCACCCACCCACCCCTCGGGAGCAGAGAGCCTCAGGGAGCTAGAACTCTCTTCTCCTCCCCAGGGGTGTGGCAACCCCGGTCCGATCCTGCGTCCAAACTCACACGGGTAGCGCATCCTGAAACCAGGGACGATGTGGGTGGTACCACTATCAGTTCACGTTTATCCAGGACTCCCTCTGTGAGCATCACTACCACGAAATGCCTCACTGGGCTTGGGCCAGGACCCCATTCATCAAGGCGCACTCAAGGGAGCAGACAGAACTGAAGCAAGATTCCTGCTGGGCCACCCCAGAGCTCGACGACCTTGAGAAAGTCCGGCAGCCCCTTTGGCCTACACTCTCATCTGATAAATGGGGATACTTTTGCCCACACCACCCTCTCCCCAAAGATACTGCAAGTTTATGGCGAAATACCAGAGATAAGTGGATGTGAAAGCTCAGCAGACACTGGGACGCACACTCCATACATACAAGGCCTGGAAAGGCTCCAGTCCAAGGTCACACAGCTGGTTCATGGCTAGCCTGGAGCGAAGGCCCAGGTCTCAGGACTCCAGGCCAAACAGGCGCGGCCCACTGTTCCCCTCGGTTCAGCGGAGCACAGAGACCACCAGCTGGCCCAGAAGGCCACTCCGAGCGGGAACTCCACTCGGCTGACTCTCATCCCCTGAGGCGGGCTCCTCACCCCCACATGGCACTGCTGCCCCCGTGTCTTGATTTTCACCACACACACACTCACACACACACACTTCATGCATACCTTCGCTCCTCTAGATTATCAGCACTCGCTGAACTGGTCCTGAAGGGGGGGATGTATCAACACCCTGGGAAATTCTGGAACCCTCAAGCTACCGCTATTCTTCAAGATGAAGATTTCTGGAGGTGGGTGGAAATTAATGAAATAAAAAGATGCCTTTGGGGTGGCAATGTGTTTCTCTGGCAAATTTTATTTCATTTGTGCAAAGGGTGTAAGATCCGGTAACTCTGACTCTTTAAAAAGTGGTTCTTCTTCGATTAGACTAGATGGCACTGTGGTATCGCCCTTTAACGACCAAGTAAAATGTCATTTCATGTCAGATAATGTCGCTTCTATTTGGGACCATCCAAAAGGGTGAACCCTCCCGTTGAAGGTACTGGTTATCTAATGGAAAATTTCTGAGGGAATGTGCCAGAGGATAGTGGCCACCAAATACATAATCGGGATCACATTTGTAAGGTTTGTTTAAGGACCGCGTCACACCCCGATCTACATGTCCAGAAGGATTTTCAAAGGCACATGTGTCCTGTGGAGCTCTACACCTACAAGCTCCATCAGCAAGTGAGATTATTTTCAATATTCCCAAATTGTTTGGGATCTTCTTAAATAAACCCCAGTATCTTAAGGTGACAATGACTTACACAATTCTTACAATGGACCGAGGCAACAAACCTTCCTGGAGCCAAGGTTCTCTTAGGATGAAAAAAAAGAAAATCTATTAGGGCTGTAAAGGCACTGAACATTCAACAGATTCTGCCAGAATCCCAGCATTCAAGAAAGGCCGCCGTAAAGTGAGGGAAAGGAGCGTGAGCAGGGGTGAGCAGAGAGTCAGAGGGCTCCATTTGCCTGCGTCTGGAAAGAAGAAACTGCACTGGCTTTTGCATTCCAGGAGCCCTCTGCAAGGCATCTCCTTGTCCAAGGCACAGAGTACCCCGCGGCGCGGGTGGGGGGGTGGTGGAGCGGTTGAGGCAGCAGAGGTAGGAGTTAGGAGCGGGTCCAGGTAGGCAGTTGCTGAAAACAGTGCCCCTGGGGTCGCCTGATGGAGAGGCAGAGAGCACAGCCCACAGCCGTGTCCTTGCCTGCTCAAAGACCCTTCCAGAGGCCCCCTGGCAATTAGACGCATCCAGTGCATTCCCTGGACTCCTCGGCCAGGCCCTGATGTGTTTTAGGGACAGTGGCATAATCGGAGCCCTAGCTGGAGCAACTCCAGCCCAGCACGCCCTTCTCCCCCTCCCCCTTTTATGGCACTCCATGACCTCCAGCAACCAGGCATTGCGGCTCCATGAAGGAAAATGCCCTAGCTTCAAAAGCAACTGGCTACAGGCTCTTCATAAATCACCATTTTCCGCATCAGCCCCGGGGTTCCCAGCGCGTGGGCTGCCGGCCCCCCACGCTGGGGCTCAGGATTTGTACATGTACATCTGGAGAGGTTTCTCAAGAGCGACCCCCCACACGGGGTCAGGGCAGCGTCCCAGCTCGCCCTTCGGCACGCAGGGTGCCCCCTCGCACTCGCAAAGCGCTGCGGATGGCCCGAGTGCAGCCAGGAGTGGGGGGCGTAAGCTGGGACCCACCAGCTCTCTCCGGGTGTCCCCAAACAGCGGCAGAGGGACACCCACTCGCCCAGGGAGAGCAGAACCAGAGGACAGAAAGGAGAGTGGCAAAAGTCAAAGAAAAAGAGAAAAATCAGAATGGGTAAAAGAGAAAGAACGAGAAGCGAAGTGAGAAGAGAGGAAGAAGGCAAGAGCGAGCGGCCAGGGACCGACAAGTACGGGAGCAAAAGAAAGAAAGGCAGATAGAGGAAGTGAGAAAAGGAGGTGGGGGGAGAATGCGGGAGCGGGAAGAGGAAGAGAGGGCAGAAAGGAGGCTTCGGAACCGGGGTGCAGAGAGAGACAAGAGGGACTCAGGGACCTCACACACAGAGACCGGTTCTTGCCGGCGCTCCAGCCCGGAGTCCGCGTGCGGTACCCTGTCCCGGTGGCGGCCGGGGGGGGGGGCGCTCGTTCGGGGCCTCCCGGACGCCCCCCCCTCCCGCCCCCCGCACGCGCTCCCAGCCACCAAGCAGGCCAACCCGCCGACAGACAGACGAGCCGTCCCGGGCCGCAGCGGACAGGCTTCCTGCGGCCGCCACCGCGCCATGAGCGTGCGCGCCAGGGAGTCTGGCGCCCGCCCAGTCCGGGCGCACCCGCCGGGCCCAGAGGTGCGCCCTGGGGCGCCGGCCGCGGCCAGCCGCGCCTCCCCGCCCTCCGCCCGCCCAGGCCCAGGTCCGCTCCCGCGCTCCAGGGCCCGGCTCGGCCGCGGGCGCGGCGCACTCACCTGGACGGTCTCAGTCTGGCGTCGCGCTTGCCGTCCACCACGGCGGGCACGCAGCTGGTGAGCTCGGTCCAGTCGGCGTGCAGCCCGCAGCTCCAGCCCGTGGAGAACCTGGAGAAGAGCCAGGTCTCCCGCTTCCCCGGCCGGTGGCAAGTGCATTTCTTCTGACCCACGCGGCATTCGCACGGCTGCTCCAGCTGGATGTTGCGCACCAGGTGGCGGCCGAAAGTGGTGCCTCCGGTCTTCTGAATGTGCAGGAACACGATCAGGTCATCGCCCTTGATGTCGAAGTCTACCTTGCGCAGGAGGTCGCCGCGGCTGAAATTGTAACGGGGCACGAACCTGGCGGAGCTCTCATCCTCCGAGCGGTACGGGTCCGGCATCGGGGAGCTGAATGCCTGCAGGCGGAGGAGCTGACATTCTGTGCCGGGGCACACGTACTGGAGGACGATCACGGCAAATAGGAAGAGCATCACCAAAGCCAGCAGCAGCTTGTTGGATTTCTCATCCATGTTCCCGACGCTGGGGGAAACCCAAGCTCGTTACGTCAATCCCGCAGTTCAGCCCGCGCTCGCCTTGCGCCCGCACCGCCCCCTCCCCCCGGCGCCGCCGTTGCGCCCCCTTTCCCCCTCCCCTCCACACCGAGTACTCCACGGCGGCGGCGGCGCCCTTCCCCGCTTCCTTCCTTCCCGGCAGGCTCAGCGCTGTGGCTCCTGCCGCACACCCCCCTCCCCCCGACTCCTTCCCGCTGGCCGCCTGCCCTCCCCCCCCGCCCCCCCCCTCCGCCGGAGCTCTCCAGAGCCGCGTCGCGGGCTCTCGTCCCCACGGGACGCCGCCTGGCCCGGTCGCCCCCACTCCCCAACTCACACCCTCCCCCCCGGTTCGAGCCCCCGGGCGTCCCGCTCCACTCTCGGCGGCTCCCATCCCCATCCCGCTTCGCCCACCGGACTCTCCCCGGCGCCTGTGCACCCAGTCCCCTGGGCGCGCACGCCGCCGCCTCCCCGCCCGCTCGACTCGCGGGCTCCCTCCCCGTGCGCCCCGAAGCCCTGCGTTTGCCCGCGCCCGGTTGCCCACCTTGGAGGCCGCCTCGAGTGAGCTCCGAGCCGGGCGTTCGGAGTTTCCCCGGGGGGGACGAGTCCGCCGGCAGCCCGACTAGCGAGCGGAGACGCTGCGCTGCCGGTGCCCGCGGAACGGCGGGGAGGGAGCCGCAGCGTGGCCAAAGGCGCGCCGCGCCCCTCCGGAGCCCCCGAGCCCGGCCGCCACCGGCCAGCTGGAACTTTGCGCCCTTTCCTTCCCCTCACGGCTGCCTTCCCTGCCCGCACGGCTCCTGCGCTCCCCGGCGCGGGAGCGCGAGTCCCGCTTTCGCCTAAAACGTACCTGGCTAGGGGTCCGAAAATCTTGGAGAAGATCGCACCGAGCACGTGCTTCAGCGAGTGGCCCAGGGCGGCCAGGCCCCGAGTGAGCAGGGCCCGGCAGAGGGAGCCCAGGTCCCAGCGTCTCCTGAGGTCGTGCATCCGCCTGCGGCGGCCTCGGGGCAGCAGCGCGAAGAGAGGGGTGCGCGCGGCTCCCGCCACGGAGGAAGACGCCTTTAGGGGCTCGTCCAAGAGCGGCTGGGAGTTGAAGCCGCGAGACACACCCCTAGGAGGGCCCGCGCGGACTGAGGCGGCGACTGCTCCGGGCCGGCTCGCTGCCAATTCGGCCTCTACTCTGGAATGCCGGCGGGGACAGGTGGTGCGGGCGGGCGCTCCTCGCTCCGGTTGCAGCGGCGGCCCGAGCGCCCGGGCTTCACACGCAGGCAGTGCCATTCCCCCCTTCAGGCAACTCAGGGTACTAAGGATCGGCAGCGAGCTTGAATTTATGTAATAACGCCTCGCGCCTAAGAGCTCGAGCCACTTCACAAGCAGAGGACCTGGGTTTCCGCCTGTCTTGGGGAACGGAGGTCACTCCAGTGAGCGCATCACTCCACTTTGGCTGGCAATTTCAACCTCCCCTAAAATAGCAAAGGCGCAAATTGGACCTTTTCCCCCCTCTCTTTGCCAATTTCCATTCTCCAGCGGAAGCGGGGGCATTTTCTGAAAAGGTAAGTCAGCATGAAGGAAAAGCATGAGCAGAAAACAAAAACAAAAACAAAAACGTTGCAGAATGGGAATCTGAGCTTTTTCAGAGCAGAGACTCACCCTTACTCCTCTCTTCTTGCTGAATCCCCGCCATCCAGCCCCGTGCCTACAGGAAGGCTTCACTCCTATACGGTTTAGTGAAGGAAAGATACATGACTAAATACTACATCAGAGTGGGGCCATCGAATCCAAGATGATGTGGTAAATGAGGAAACCGAGGCCCAGAGAGGGAAAGACGTTTGCCCGGGGTCACACAGCAGAGCCCCAGGGTTTGGACCCAGAAAACCAGGCACCATCCAACCCATTCCCTGACACTGACACCACCTCCTCTCACAAATAGGTGCAGACCATTCTCAAGCCCTGGTGTTAAAAGGCACTTTTTTGGCTGTAGGGGCCACAGATGTAAGGATGAGCAAGGAAAGAGGGGATGTCCCTTCAGGACAAGGTGCCCGGGAGCTCAGGACTCAGACTGTTCCTATCTGATCGAGCAGGTGGGGCTTGCTGTCTATCAGGAACGGATGTTTCCGCCATGGAGCCCCACGGCTGCAGAGGGGGGCATGGGTGGCACAATGTTTCAGAGCAGCGCTGTCGGGGCTGAGGGCGAGGGGCACAGTGAGACAAGTAGGGGGGTGGGGGCAAGTCCCTCAGGGACAGGCTTGCCCAGTATCTCCGTCAGAACATTTGATCCCTCTGTGCAGTGAAGCAGCAAGCACTGGTCTGAGGATTTATCACATCCTTGCTGGGCAGCCCTCAGATAATCACTAGCCCCTCCTGAGCCTCAGTGTTCTCTTCTGTAAAATAGGACTCATTCCTTCTTGTTAACCATCTGGGTCACCGTGAGGATGACCCTTGGGCCATTTTAGCCGCTGTGTTAAACCTGCTGCCCTCAGCTCGGATGTGCCCACTGAATCAGCCACAGGCCAACTAAGGAAGGGGTCCTTCTTGGGCAATCTCACAGCTGTGCCCCCTGCCCTTACCTCCGCCCATACTTCTCCAGTCCTGGCTGGACTTCCGTGTGCCCCCCAAACCTACCGGGGACACTGGGGGGCCTTTGTCTGGCTGCAGGCAGGAAGGGTTTGGGGGAATCCTGCGTTTCAGGCATTCCACCTGTCCCAGGGCTCCAGGGGGACATTCCAACCGATGAACTTATGTAAGGAGCCAGACGCAGCAACTTAGAAGGTAGACATCTTGGCTTCCCTGAGAGCTCCCCGGCTCTCCCCCCCGCCCCCGCCCCAGCAGGCTTGTGGGACCCACCTGCTCCCCCTGAGGATGGGTGAGGGTGTGAGTCAGAGGAGTGAGAAACCCTGGGGGTGGCCAGGGAGCTCAGCTTGCCAGCTGTCCCCCCCATTTCTCGTTGGCCACCCACAACAGTCGGCCTCTTCGGGCCAGCAGGTGGCTCTCCTCGCGGTGCCTTATGATGACTCTCTGCCCTCACACTCTTACAACGGCATTCGGTGGGTCCCTGGGAAAACAGTTCTGGAATGGGTGGGTCACACATTCATGCCCCCAGCAACTACTTGGAGTTTCTGGGATTGGAACCAGGGCAAGTGCCTCGGGTAGGGATGTGGGGAGGGAAGACAACCAGTATAAGGGAAAATCAGGATTTACTCTTTCAGGTCATGAAAAGGAACACACACGGGCGTGTGCACACAGACACGCACACACTTAACACTCTGACTCTCGGGGAAAGAGGCAGGCAGATTGGTAGTTGCAGAGCATAAAGGAGGGACAGGATGGTGCTGTAAAGCCCAGGTTCGGGATCTAGTAATGAATCCACACAATAGCTCGCCGGAGGATATTTGCCTTTACAAGCCTTTCCTCCACCCACCTCATGCTCTAAGAAAAAGAAATGAATCTCTCTTCATATATCAGGGCTCCTGGAAGTGGAAGGAAGTGTCTTTGAGGGGAGCAGGGGCGGGGGCCCCACAAGTCTCCGAGGACCCCTCCTGGGGCGAAGAGGCTCCTTGCTAGGAAGAGGGAATTCTTCCTGTGTGTGTCCCCAGAGCCTTGCTCTGCTGAGGCCAGGCCTGGGCCTTGGCAGGAAGTTCCAAGGCCTCTTGCAGTCCTGGGCTGGGCCCACCTCCCAGAAGCCGGTTCCTCTCAGGAACTGAATAACAAAGATCCCAATACTCTAGAATCAGCCCTATTTTGGAGCTCGGGGCAGGGGCACGGAGGGTGGGGGGCGGGCAAAGAGGAGGAGAACAGGCTGGGTTATTGGTTCTTTGGTTAGGCCTCTCAGTATTTCTTAAACCAGCCTGAGTTTCTACATGTGTACATATATTTGGGATTCAGTACTTGGAAGGTGAGGAGGACTCTGCAGCCTGAGCCGGGCTCCTGGTTGTCTCCACAGTGTGCTTTGCTTTTCATTATTTTTCCAGAACTGCCCTTCCACGGTTTCCACAAAAGGTTGAGGATTCTGGGAGCATAAAGGTCAGCCTGGCTTGCATACTAAGCAGTGCACTTCCAGACATCCGTTTGGTTGCTGGAGTCAGAGAGGGCAGCAGGCAGAGTCGGCAGAACACGGGCCCAGGAGTCTAGAGACCTGGGTTCTTGTCTCGCCTCTGCCACTCACAGCGAGGAAGCCACTTGCTGGCTCCGGGACTCAGCTCCCTGTGTGTATAAGAAGGCCAAGTTGATGCTGTGATTCAAAGGGCACGGTTCTGCTCCTGACTTCTAAGTCGCGTGATTTCTGGTCTTCCTCAAGGGCCAAAGTGCTGCCAAACCCTCAGTGCGTCCTCGTGGGGGGTCAGTGGGGGTGGGGGGTAACCAGAGGCTAGTCCTTGATTCCTTCCATCTAGTTGTTAGAGCCCACCAGGCAATCAGCAGCTGGACTTGTTCTGGGCCTGCGTTACACGGGTGACAGCAGGGTCCCCTGTTCGAATTAGAACAGAAACAGTGAACATTTCCAGCCGAAGAAATGCTGGCAGTCTTTATAGAGAGCATAAAACACTAAGGAAATGTGCCTTTCCCCCCTTATCCTGAGCATTCTCTTCCGCCCTGTTTCTGCAGCTGTCTCTCATTTTTTTCAAGAACATTCATACTCTCAATAATAGGCGATTTTTGTCACAAAGATTGAAGGCATGCAAACTATCAAGTCAGTTCGTTTCTGTTTTGATGCGTCTCTCTGAACTGAGTGAACAGCAGTACTTAATGAACGCGCCGTTCTGAAATTCAAGCTCTGATATTATAAACAGGTTGGGTGTGTTGGATACATCACTGTCAACAGCCAGCCCCACAAAACACTGAGTTTTCTTTGTTTAGCCTTACAGAACATGGAGCTCAAGGAATGAAAAGAGGAGGACAATGCCGGGGTGCTGCATACACATTCGGGGTGCTATGTGAACACATGCAAACCAGTGACCACGCATCCCCTGAGGAGGGATCCCCACTATTTCTCTAACGGCGGAATTCTCACTTCTCGCTGAGTGGAAGAATCCATTCATGCAGGCAGGGCCTTGAAAGCTAGGGAAGCCAAGGCTTGGCAACCATAGGCAGCAGGCTCCACTCAGCTCCCGGGACAGCCACTTAACTTCTCTGTGCCTCAGTTTACATCCTTATAAGACAGCCTGACCAGGTACCTTCAAGAAGCTGGTTTAGGGGCATAGTAAAGAGGAATGCAATCTCAAGTCGCTTTTTATTAATGAGGAGAGAGCAGAGATTTGGAGAGGACATTGCTCTGGGATTTAATCAGGGCCTCAGTTTTGTCATTCATGAAAATGAGACTAGTGACAGCCACCTCACTGGGTTGTCAGCCATTGAGAACACTTAGTCTAGTTTCTGGAAAAGTAGATCTTCAGTAAATGTTCATTTCCTCTCCCTTTTAACTCGGAGTACCTTTGGTTCGAGCTCTTTGTTATAGTTTCCACAATAATAACATACACAGATTTGTTTATTTTTTTTAAGATTTTATTTATTTATCTGAGATAGAGAGAGAGAGTGAGCATGAGCAGGGGGAGCAGCAGAGGGAGAGGGAGAAGCAGGCTCCCAAGGAGCAGGGAGCCCGATGCAGGGCTCGATCCCAGGACCCCGGGATCGTGACCTGAACCGAAGGCAGACGCTTAACCGACTGAGCCACCCAGGCGCCCCAAGCTACACAAATTTAATGACTGACCCTGGGTGGCAGGCGATAGGCCTAATTATGACCCAGGGTGGCTTTGCTGCCCCATCCCATTTCTTTATATGTTCCTTTTTCTTCCCCTACCTCTCTCTACCTCTCCAGTGTTTCCCCCAGCCTGTATCCCACGGAGGAGGAAGGCCTCTGATCCATTCAATCACATTGAGGAGTGGGACATGTACGTGTGACCCCCTCCCCGGAGACACTTATGAGGGAGGAGGAAGATAGCAATGCTTAGCCCTAATGAATGATCCCTCCAATGAGATACCATGAACTACATAACATGGGATGCTACATACAGTTGTTGACCCTCGAACAACCCAAGGGTTTGAGGCGTTGACCTCGCACAAAGTCAAAAATCCACATATAACATTTAACTCCCCCAACACTTAACTACTAAAAGCCTACTGTTGACCAAAAGCCTCACCAATAACATAAACAGTTGGTCAACACGTATTTTGTATGTTATATGTATTTTTTTTTTAAGGATTTTATTTTTTTAAGTCATCTCTACACCCAACGTGGGGCTCAAACTCACAACCCCGAGATCAAGAGTCACACGCTCCACCTACTGAGCCCGCCAGTTGCCCCTGTTATATGTATTTTACTGTATTCATACAACAAATTAAGCTGGAGAAAACAAAATGTTATGAAGAAAGTCATATGGAAGAGAAAATGTATTTACCGTACTGTCCTGTAAAAAATGTGCATATAAGTGGACCAGCTCAAACCCAGGTTGTTCTAAGACCAACTGTATAACAGGGCACGGAGGAGAGGCTTGGGATGCTGAGGGGAAGAGCAGAAGCGGGTTTTAGGTGAGTGGAAAACTGAGCGGGGAGGTGAATGGAGAACCAGCCCCACTCTACACTATTAACACTAATTTTTAGCCCCGTTCCCTTCCAAACTTCACGGTTGATCTGGCCAGAGCAGTTTCAACTTGACCAGCTGGTCAAATCACAGCAGTCAGATTGAGAAATAAGGTCGGTTTTGTGTTCACCCTGCAGGAGCCAGAGCTGGGCGAGCCCATCCATCCACTGAGCCCTGGGCCGGCAGCACCAGCTCTCAGTGGCAGAATAGAAAGAGCACCAAGCCGGATGCCAAGAAAACAACGTTGGAGTGTCAGTTCCGCCTCTGGCTCACCGTATGACCCTGGGCTAGTTGCTTGCCGTCTCTGGGATTTAGTTGCTGACCTTGGTAAAATGAGGGGCTGCGTTGGATGACCCTGCCAGCCCATCCCAGCAGGAGCTTTCTGTGATCTAAGCTGTGCTGGTTAATGAGAAGGGCTGGGGAGGGACACCACTCTGTAGCCTTTGTGTCGGCAAAAATGCACTACCGAAGATGATCCTCCAGCTAGTAGCTGAGTCAAAAAAGCAGAAGGACTTAAATGAGGAGCAAACTTCCTTAGATCGTACGGGTGAGACAGACACGTGTAAATAAGCCTTCTGGGCTTCTCCTGACTTGGATGGTAAAGATTGGGGGACAGTGTCAAAACTGACTTCCAGCTGACCCAAAAGCCCTAGGTAGGTTTTAATAATGATAATTTTAAAAAAGCAAGAATAGCCTTGCCTGGCCCTCAGTCTCCCACGTGTTTCTGTGCTCTGGGGTCTTGGCAAAAGAACACACCCATTGCTGATTTCCTGACTGATCTCCATGGGAGCTCTAGTTTTGAATAATAAAGTAAAGAGCTAAAAATTACACCTCAGATCAACATGAAGGATTTGAAGAAAGCTAGCCTCGAGGCCAAAGTTGCCCCCAGGAAAAGGATTTCTTTGTCACTCAAACAGCTTTGACAGGGAATAACCCAGGAAAAGAGAAAATTAGTTTAGAGAAATCATACATGTCACAGACTAAATGAAAATTAATTTTTCATAAGATGGAGCCAGACTAAAGGCTACTAAAGCCCTTAAACTGGGCTTGATACCAAAACCTGTAAAAGGATTTACTCTGTATGCACATATTTTCAAAATTCACATTTCACCAAATAGCATTAAAATGCAGAAAGCTACAACATTAGAGCAGCATGGGGTGGGGGAGGGAGTTAAACTTCGTAAAACACACTTTGCACACTCATATCCACTGAAGAAAGTCATCTTTGTGGCTATGATCTTATAGAAGATTCACCTGAAGCAGAAGGCAATATTCAAATCCCCAATGAAAAGAGACAAAATGTGGTTGGTGGGGCTGAACGAAGGGTTAGAAATGCAACGGTGTGGTTGAGGGGAAGGCAACATGTTGTGAAGGTGGCAACTTTGATGTTCTGCACAGTGATCAGGGATGGCTGGCCATGGTGATGTCTCGTGTAGGTTGACCCTAGAATGCTTAGCAAACAACGCCAAGAACAGCGCCCATACTGAACACCTATTATGTGCCAGGCACTTGACTAAACACTTTCATGCCCTCTCTCAACTAGCATTCCCAGTAACCCAATGAGGTAGTTACTTCTGTTGCACTTATTTTATAGATAAGTAAACTGGGGTTCAGAGTTACAGCCACAGAGCTAGGAAGTAGTAGAGCTGGGACTTGAACCCAAATCTGTCTGAAATAACCACACAGCCTGAAATAACTCTGATGCCCTAGTGATCCTCATCCAGCTCCAGGATGTCTGGACATGAGCGGCAGAGTATGAGAGCTCCTGTCCCAAAATGAGTATCAAGAGACTTCGATAATCCTCATCCCAGGCGGGAGAGCCGGGCGGGGAGAGGCTGTGTAGTGTGTGCACCTGCGTGCGTGCTTGCGTGCGCCTGCGTGCCCGTGCACGCACGTGCTGTGAGAGCACTAAAGGCCATAGAGGGCAGGGGCCCGGAGTCAGAACGTTAGTAAAGAGGGAAGTGGAGATGGAGACGCTGCTGCCTGGGCAACTCAACACATACACAACCTTGGGATTTCACCCACATCATCTGATACTGTTATTCTTTTTGGAAATGTCGTAAGCCACTTTGCTCTACTAAGCAATAGCTTTCTGGAAGGCTGGAACCTTGGCTTCTTCGTTTTTTAAAATTCCCCATAGTGCCCAATAATAATAATATTTGGGTCTAAGGCTTCTCAGTTTACCAAATACTTTCACAGACACTGACGGGACCTTCCCAACACCTCGGCGAGGCAACTGTTATTGCCCTCACTTTGTATATGAGGAAACGGAGTCTCTGAGGGACGAAGGAACTTGGCTAAGGGCACACAGCTTGTGTGGAGTGGCCTCTGCTGGCCACTCCCTTTGTCCCCCTCCAAGCACACATGTCAACATGAGGTAATGGCAAGGCACCTCACAAAGGATCTGGCACAGAGTAGGTGCTCAAGAGCTATTAGTTTTCCCCTTACCCAACAATTTCTGA